AAAAAAAGAAAAAAAAAAAAAAAGAAAAAAAAAAAGAAAGAAAGAAAGAAAGAAAGAAAAGAAAAGAAAAAAGAAAAAAGAAAGAAAGAAAGAAACGGCCATGTGCCTGACTCAGGCTGACTGAACTGCTAGAAAAAGGCAGCCCGAGTTTCAACTGCAATTGAAACTCGGGCCCTGACTGCGCCGTAGTTTTCTCGGGCCCTGACTGCTAAAACGCAGTTTCGAATGCAATTACAAACTGTAACCCTGACTGCGCTGTAGTTTTCTCAAAAAAAAAAGACGTTCGCGCCTGCGCGAACACGTTCGGGCGAACGTGTTCTCATTCGCCGGCGAACGCGAACGGCGTGCAACGCAGGTCTGCGGGGGATTTCCACTGGGCCATAAACAATGATCCTAGGGGCCCAGATTATCCCGATACCGACAACACTCAATATTACATATCCCCGGACTTCATCGTTATTAATACCAGTTTCCCTCCCTTCCATCTCCTCCTTCCATATCACCAGCTCACAATGGTACCGTGGAATTCCATAGCTCGCTATTGGCCCCGCCCATCGTGCGAAGAGTGCCAGCGGTACCAGGTGTACCGGGATTCGGGATTCATCAGACGAACCCGAACCGAAGCCGAGCAGCGATTACACAGCCTCCGCTTACGGCCAGCCTCGTCGGATTCCGAAGCTTGTTACGAGCGGCGCCGACAACTGTTCGGCCAGCGGGACAGCCATGGTGTCCCACCGGTCCACTAGATAAGGGACCGGCCGCGGCGACGCAACTGGCAGAGACCATAGTCCCATCCCCGAAGGCTGAAACGCCAGATACGCTCTTCGCATACGATCTTCGCGTACCATCTTGCACCGTTGTCCCTAAACTTGCCACCGAAGATCTCAGTTCCGACCTGGGATTCCACCCCCACTTTCCTAAAATCCTTGGCACACCCCTTTTTCGCACTTCCGGGCCCCCATCCCACTCCAATCAGGAAGTCGCGCTAGGCGTGAGGTTGGAGCGTATGTTTTGAATGGGACGTTAGGCCCGGTTCCCAGCACGTGTTGCTCCCCACGAATAGATTGGAGAATGTGAAAAAAAAAAAAAAAAAAAAAAAAAACAAAGCCTGCAGCAGATGTCCGCGGAAAGGTGAAATTTCTCCCGCAAACCATTTTCCGGGACCCCACAGACCGAAGATTGTGGCTTGGAAAAACATAGTTTTGTGTTTTCACATAGTCCGCAGCCTGGAAAAGTCTCATGACTCATGAGAGGATTCCTCGCCGCAATTTTGTGCCAACTCTAGAGGGTATAGGGGGGAGGGCGTGTCATTCCTGGATGGAAAAGTCTCGGAAAAGTCTCACGGGAGGCAGCAGCCAATAGCGACCAAGAGTGTCACAAAAAAAAAGGACAAACAAAGAAAACAAGAACCAAACAAATGATTGCCAACGGAGAAAGGCAACAATTGGCTCAACTGATTTCCAAAGGGTTTCCACGGCGCATTTGGTCCTCCTTGGTGGGGTCCCTGCTAAACTGCTTTCCAGCTTTCCAAAATTCTTTACCTGTTTTTTTTTGGTGGGACGGTTTTTCCAGCCTTTTTCCTGTGGGGTTCACCGCTATGGAACCGCTATGCCAGCCTCAACTCTAAGGGCCTCGTTAGACACTCCTTACGGTTTCCTTGAGGCTCAGCCACAAGGAACCGTCCTTGTGGTTTTGAAGGGAAAATTGCGGCGTCGTTACACTCATCCTTGGGGCCATCCCCCGAGGATGTTTCCTTGTGGCTTCCCCGCGGCTGTTTTCATACGCAAATTAGCGGTCGTGGGGTCTGTCGTCCTTGGTCCAGCTTCTTTGTCCGTGTGGAGGCTGCGCGGTTCAGCGACGCGAGGCGGGAAACGGCAGTCTGTGGGCGGCGCAAGGAGAAATTTAAACCCGAGAGCGTGGGCATTCGAAATTCAAAATTTGAATGCCAGCTTCGACAGCAACGACGACGTGTGGCTGGCGGGACGACGGCGTCGTGCTGCGGAAAAGGGCCCGGCGGCGGCGGAGGCCACATCCAGAGGGCTCCCTCATCTGCTCCCGCAGCGTGTTGTGCTTCCATCGCCGTGGACCTTTGCGCACGTCGACTGCACGTTGCTCTTCGCTTCCATGCGCGGGGTTGTGAGCGGAAAAAAGGGGCCACCTTCTCAACGGACGTCTTCGGGACCATCGTCCGGTGCGGGAGGACGAGACAGATGGCAGCGGAACGACGGGCTATGGAGGGCGGCGCCGCGGCTAGACGTGATGTGCTGAGTCATGGTGAGCTCCAGGCGGTGGCGGCGGCCGTGTCGACGATCGTTCTTCGATATCAGCAGGAGAGGGCGCTAGGGCGACTGAAGGAGCATTTGCGCGCGCGTAGACGAAGGACATTGACGCAAGATCCGCACGATGGTGTCGAGTTCGTGGCGACGTCAGAAGCTGTTGTTCAGTTGTGCTATGCGTTGGGCTGCGAAGTGATACCCCGCGCGACGCCGCGGTGGTGGGTGAAGCGCAGGACAGGAGGAACGTGGGAAGACCTCAGGCTATGCGACGATGCGACTGACGACTACTTCCGCGATAAGCTGCGAATGTCGCCGCGAGTGTTCCGGAAGATCGCGAAGGCGTGTGCGCCTCATCTTCGGCGGCAGGTGACGTTCTACAGGGAGCCTTTGCAGTCGGACCAGATTGTGGCATACGCACTGTACAGGTGGGCGTCAGGTGAGACGTATGAGAGCAGCACGTGCAATTTCGGGATCGGACGAGCTTCTGGGCTGATTGTCGTTCACGACGTGACTGCCGCGCTGCTGAGGGTGTTCGGCGATAAGATAGCATGGCCGACGGGAGTTCGTAAACAAGTCGTTCTTCGGGCCTTCGCTGATAAAGGCTTCCCCAACTGCCACGGTTGCATTGACTGCACTCACATCTACGTCGACAAGTCAGCGAATGCTCTGAGCAAAAATTACTACGACAGGAAGCGCCGTTTCTCCATCGTCGCGCAGGTCGTTGTCGACTTGGACTTGCGTGTGGTAGACGTGCACATGGGATACCCCGGTAGCTGCCACGACATCAAGGTGCTGCAGTTGTCTAGCCTGTCGCTGCGCGCGGAGGAGGGGTCGTTGTTCCGCGGGCCCCCCGTCACACTGCCGTTCGGTGTGAAGACGAACGGTTACCTTCTGGCGGACAATGGGTACCCCCCTGCCGAATGGATGGTCATCCCGTACGGCGGTATCAATTTGAGCGTCGAGCAGGAGTGGTTTGACAACAAGCAGAAGGTGGCAAGGGGAGCGGTGGAGCGGGCGTTCGGCAGGCTGAAGGGCATGTGGCGGCTGTTTCTCCGAACACACAAGACAAACCTGGAAACGCTCCCGCAGCAGTTCACCGCCGTCTGCATACTGCACAACTTACTGATCGACGAGGGGATCCCTCTCGACGAGAATCTGCTGTGGGAGGTCGACGGTAATGGTGTGCGACGACGAGTGGACCTGGGGATCGACGAGCCCCTCCAGCCTGCGTCGATGTTGACGTCGACCCGCGAAGCCTTAGCCCTGAGGCATGCTTTGGCGGAACGAATGAAACACGAATGAGTCGTGTATCATTCGTGGACAACAGCACATGAAGATGGCTTAATTGCAACAATGGGCGGACACCAGATTGGTCTTTCCGTCCTCCCTTGATTGGGTCGCTGTCGTCTGTACCTCGACGGGGTTGGTGGTTTTTGTGGAGGGGCGTTATTCGGATGGTGGAAGGCAGCGCGTGGAAGTGCGATGTTGGTGCAATGGCCGGAGGGCAGAATCGCGGTCTCGTCGGCCGTCGGCTTGGTTGCTAGCCCTGTTAGGCGTCGTGGTCGGCGGCTTGCGTCGACGATTGTGTTTGGTTAGCCTTCGCAATACATGAATGTGTGTCGCATTCGTTTTTCTTTTTTTTTTTATGTTCAATTGTTTTTTTTTGATGCCGTTCATGAGGAGTACTGCGTAACACACTCATTGCGTTTGTGAGGTGCGCCTTTTTCGAGAAGAGTTAGCGCATTTAGAGGTCAGAGGTATGGTGTTCACTCGGGTGGGCATGAAACTTTCCCCCCCATCTTGGTTTCGAAAGAGAGTTTTGTACTGCTGTGATTTCTTCTGCGACGTTGGAAGTACTTTTGACAGTCGTTTTCGCCCATTTCCTTTGTGTGTTCGCATTCGGTGTGCGCCTGTTTCATTGCGTGCATGTCGTGCGTTGGCATTTGTGATTCGTTTGATTTTCAGCGGCAAAGTATTCCCTCGACTGATGAGTGCAACACGAACACATGGACTGTATGCCACTGGGATGATTCTGGAATCAGAACACACAAAAACAAACAAAAAAAAGAAAAGGAAAAAAAAAAACGTCTTCGAAGCAACGATCGAAAATGGCATCTGCAAATGAAGAAGAGATGTGTGAATGTGCATCGAGCACTGCATGGACCGTCAGGTAAGGAAAGAGAGCAATCACACACTGCAAACATATGAAACATCCGTCCCGAATCAAAGACATGAAGATAATATGGTGCGCTTCCAGCGCGTTATGAATGTACATGACGCATGCTGCGCCGACAAGGAAACGTGAAACAACATCGCGGAAACCTAACTTTAATCCGCTCCTACAATCTACTGCAGACAACACCGCGCACCGTCGCATGAACACTGCGAACTGCCAAACTAAATAAACAAGCAAGGACACCGACGAGCGAAGTTGCATCTACCACCCTGCCAGAGTGGACAGCCGAAAACGGAGGGCGTCTACACGCACGACAGACACGCTGTGCTCGTGCGGAACGAAGGGAGAGACCAACAACAATCTGTGTCGCTATGCGCCGCCACCTTTCCCGCTGTCCACGTGCCATCACGAGTGACAAGCAAACCAAGGCAATCTAGCACAACACCACCACTCCACCCCCTACGCGTCGTTTTCGCCATTGTCGTCACCGTACTCCTCCAAGGGGCCCGAACCCAACCAATCCCTCTTCTTAGCGTCCTCTGGCCCCGTGATGCTCACGTCGTGGCCGAACGTGATGCCACACGAAGCCCAATCGGGGATGTACTTCGGGTACTCTCCTAAGGTGGAGTTCGCCTTCCCCAGTCTCTCCGTGACGACGTTCGTCGCTCGGATGACAGACCTTCGATGATCGAAGGCGCGATGCATGGACGCGATCAGCGTGGACTTCGCGACCAGCTGCGCGAAGTAGAAGGCTTCGTAGTGGCTACGATGATCGTCTCCCGCCATGCGCATCAACCACATGCAGGCAGCCAACAACAGCCTGAAGCAATCCGCGATCCTCGACATACGATCGTGCGATATGAACCCGCCGTTGACGTTGGCACCCATTTGCACAGCGGCACGAAATGCATGCGTGACGCACAGGACGGTCGACTCCCGGTACGCAGCCGTGTCGTCGTCCTCCGGCCTGTCGTCGATGTTCACCCCCGCAAACCACAGTGGCAAGTCCATATTGAGGTTGATCGTGTGCGGGCAAACGGCCGCGCTCACCACGTTGCTCCACTCCTCGCCGTACCACATAACGCGCGCAAGGTCCGTGGCCACCGACTCCAACGCGTACTGGAAAGCGAGATTGTATCCGCGGGGGCGGTTCCCTGACTTGAACACCCACCCATGCAAAACGCGCAAAACTATGTTCTCTGCAGCCCCCCCGCGGATGATCGCTTGCTGTAGTTGAGCGGGATCAGCAATCCTCGTGATGCTCGTCGCGAATTTCGGCATGACGACGCCCCTGGACACGATGGGCGCTTGCACCCCGCTGGCGATGGCGTCGAAGTGCTCCCGCGTTCGGTGGACGATGTCGTAGAGCCGGCGCCCCTCCCCCGTTGTCCAGAACGCTTTGTCGTCGACCCACAGGCGGGCACGGTCGGCAAGATCTCTCGCCAACCCTCCCCTCCGCTCCTGGCTTAAAAGGGGGTCGTCGTCCTCTCTTTCGCCCGTATTCTCGCCACGCGCAACCTTCCGCTCCACAACAGGAACCTCCTCTCTCGCCCCCGCCACGACAGCGACATTGCCCGACGACCCCGCGCCTGCACCAGGGATCGCGCCAGCGCTCGCAACGCGTGCTTCTTGCTGGGCCACCTCACCACCCCCGCGTTCGGTAGACTCTCCATCTTCAGCCGTGTTGTGCGGTCGCGGCTGTGACGGCGTGGACGGCATGGCGCCCTGAGGTGGCCTTTCTTCCGCGACGCATATCCTTACTCCCGTCGCCCTGGCACCTTGCATTACATTTCGCTGCCTGCGGCTTTCCAATGACTCATTGTCCTCGTCGTCGACGTCGACGACAGCCTCCTTAGCTTTCGTGTTGCTCTGCCCACGACCTTGTTGCCCCTCCGCGGGGGGCGTGAGCAATCTCCTCGCCGCGGCCTGATCATTCTTCGCTTGATGACTGCTGTCCCGGGGTGCCGCGGTGTCATCTGCTGCTTCGTCCTCTGTCATGAACACATTGTCATCTTCGTCTTCGTTCGATTGCGCCCAATACCGCCCTCGCCGGACAGGCCCGCTTGGTGATGGCTCTTCTGAACGGAGCCTCTTCGCCTTCGGCACATGCCGCCGACCCCCTGCCCGCCCCTTGGTGTCAGCAGGGACGTTCTCCCGCTTCTTGCCACGGTCGACGCCTCGCGTAGACATGATTCACGTGCACTAGTGTCGCAGTGGTTGGCGAGAGCGCTCCGTGGAGAGAACAAGATCTTCGGTGGTGAATGACGCCGCACCTCCGAACGACGTAGACTTGTCTGCGATGATCAGGGCAGTCTGCTCTGCGTGGACGTCCTTGTGCTTGCCAGACGATCGTCGGGCTCGATCGACGACGACAGTGCAGAAGTCCCACTCGTGGAGCGCGAAGACAGGGGCGACCATGCGATGGCTGCGTGGTGCGTCGAGGACAAAAGGCAGGTGGCGTCCCGCGCGGATTTCGTCGCTGGTCACCGTGTGCACCGACCTCCAGTACTGGATATGCCGCAAGCACACCTTAATGCTGGAGCAGTCGCAGGCCTGACAAAAACATGGAGCAGCTGGACGGGCCCCGAGCACAATTCTTCGCCTTCCGTCGTTGTCGACAGCGACACATGTGACAGCGACACGTGTGACAGCGACACGTGTGACAGCGACTCAACAGACCTCCTGCACGCGCACGCCCTTCAGCTTTTGCGATGCCCACCGTCCCCGCCGCGCGTACAGACCCTTCCACGCTTGCATGGGCGCGCATCCATTCAACACCAGGGGCCGATGTGAATTTCCTCCAGAGCACTGCCCCCACCAACATCCCGACACCCCCCCCCTCCCCTCCCCCCCCCCCCCCCCCCCCCCCCCCCCCCCCCCCCCCCCCCCCCCCCCCCCCCAAAAAAAGAAAAAACTATCACCTGCCCCCATCCTCGGATTGCCAGCTGTGCCTTTTTCTTTCTCCCTTCATCGCAACCTCCCTTTTTTTGAAGTTATTTACTTTTTTTTTGTGTTTTGTGCTTGTGCATGACTATCGTGGATGATAGCCCACGCGAGCCGTTCAATCTTCTCAGCGGCCTGATTTTTTTTTTTTTTTTTTTTTTGG